GAATGAATATATCTTTCTCTCTATCTGTCTCTGAGAACTCGATTTTAAATCATATTTTAGAATTTTAATGCAGCTGAGTAACGGATGTTAAATGGCATTTGTGAAGATGTTTATCATAATCAAGAAGTTGATTTTAAATGTTTATTGTGAAAATGTTTATCATAATCAAGAAGATGATTTTAAGTGACATTCAATGGAGTTTTGGCGTTTAATCAAATCTCCCCCCAACCCCTTTTTTTCTGTAATTGTTTTGTCTAGTGAAATTATTTGTTGTGTTTCTTCCTGTTATTTCTTTCCATCTTTTTGCTGCCTTTCATTATTGTTATCCACAGGGGGAAAAAAGTTATTCAAATAATATCTTAGAAAACATCACATTCTTTCATGTCTTAGGAGAATTCTTACTAAGAAGTAAATCAGAATTCCATCTTCCTGGCAAGCAGGTCACCCCCTAGCTGCTTCGTTACTCTGCCATTGACAACCACATAGAATGCTCATCACTATCCCTAATGTCGGCAAAGCCAGTAGCATACACACACACACACGCACATTTAATACACAAGTCTGTTGTAATTTAATATTTTAATTAATACACCTAATTTAATGATTTCAGAAGTCTGTTTGTTATTTATTAAGTGTTTAAATCACAAGGCAGCCGTCAGAAGTGTGAACTAGTTTTAATCAAATAGAGATGTTGCTTGTAAAAATCTGCATAATTACATTGGAATTTAAACTTGCTAACTTCTGTGTTAGGGATGGTTGCTGTGGTCACCATAGCCACACCACCACCATATTTAAGCAGTTTTCCCCGCTAGGTTTTAGTTCACTGTGCGCATCCCAAGTAAATTAGAACACCCGAATTTGGTAAATAACAAGTACACTAGCACGCTTGAGTCAGTAACTATAAACTAGTTCAGTTGTGAGGTAAAAGCTATGAACCAGCGCCATTGTGAGGCAAAAGCTATTAACTAGCACACTTGTGAGATAACAAATATAAACTAGCACACCTGCCTGTGGTAAACACTATAAAATTATCAGTTATATGGTAAACAAATTGTAAACTAGCTCAGTTGTGAGTTAAACAACTATAAACTAGCACAGTTATGAGGTTTCAGAGAAAAAACCCACCATAAACTTGCACAGTTGTGTGGCTGGGACTACTAAGGGTTCAATTCCTATGTAGTAGGATAAAGGCATTACTGAGGTGCTTGGGTCATTGCTAAGGCAAGTTAGTTCCCATCTGCTATGCATCAGCTAATAGTGTATGTATGTTTAAGGGAAGTATTTTGGAATCTTCTTCAGCATTCCTAGCCATTGAGGTTCATTGCTGCATAATATCACCCACCTCCATTCATTTCTCTGGTTGGCCTTCTCTTTCCATTTGGTGACACCAAGTGTGTGCAGGTCTGTCTGGACATTATCTCTACATGCTCTTCTTGATCTGCCTTGTGGTCTACGACTATTCTTCTTCCTTGTGTATACAGTTTTTACTTCTCTATCATCTGACATTCTCTCAATGTGTCCCAACCAATTCTTTTAAGAGAGTCAGTGTTTTAACAGTCTCTAGTTCATTTTCTCCAAAGATATCAATGTCATTTGCATAACCAAGTATTCTTGTAGATTCTCCTATAGTACACTCTTGTTTCCATTTCCTTATAATTTTCTCCTGGGCCAAGTTGAAAAGAAGTGGTGACTGGGCTTTACACCAGATGTTATTTGAAAAGGGTCTGACTTTCTGCCTTTATATATTACTATATTTCAAGTGTCTTCCACACATAATTATCTTCTTTGGTATTCCTGAGTCCTTCATAGCATTCCATAAATGTAAAGTGTATGGTTTAAGCATTGTAGAATGAAGTAGGTAAATTCACCCTTGTCTGCATAATAGCACACGGCAGTGCCCAGGAAAATACAAGTAAATAAACTAAAAGGACCATTTGTACACCAGTGGTGCATTGAGTATATGATTTTAGACTTGTAATATTTTCATATACCAGTTGTTGACGTGCCATATATATGTGCCTGCTGTTCTAGTATTTTTGTACGAAAGTTGTGATGTTTATTAGAATCATTCAACAAGCTATGCGCACTTTTTGTGACACTGGTATGTGACAAAGTTGATTCTGAAAGCCCAGTCAGTGTTTCAGTAAAATTTAGTATGAAATCTGGAGTATTCAGCCACATGAAGGTATGAACATAATTGCAAGAATCAGTGAAAGATGGTGTCACTTGATATGTGTATGCTAGCAGATGTGTTCATTGACTTGTGCCAATAAAAGGGGCATCATTAAAATGTGTAGCTAATTCAGTTTTCGGTTAAACTGGCCCGATTTTTTACAGTATATAATCCCCGTGTGGGTTCCGGGGCCCATTTTGGGTAAAACAGAATAGACCCACTGCCTTCCTAACAAGCATGTGGTAGGAGTAGACTAATGAAGGTTTTTCTTCGAAGTCTGAGTGCATCTGCCTGAGAGGCAAGGATCCAACAGTCTGCATATAAATAAACCAGATCCCTAAAATACACGTGTACACAAAACTCAAGTTCTGGAACAACATTAAAGTCCAGGTGTGGACGAACAACCAGAACTTTCCATTAGAGCTCACAGCCAGTGAACGCAAAGAACTAGAGGATAATGTATATGACGTTTATTTCTTCTGCTGCTCTTCTGTGTCTCCACATTATATGTTATCACAATTAATGTCACTATGCATTAAGCATTCCCATGCATGCTCATTTTTCTGATGCAGTAGCCATCAAGGTATTTCTGTTGACAGTTCCCATATAAAGTTGGTTCTAATGTCTCCTATCTTTACCTCAAATAGGACATAGACATGCTTTGTTATGCCCAACTCCCAGGTCATATAGCTGGGTTAACATAATTATCAGCCATTATAGTCCATGCTGCATTGATGACCATGCTGTTTTTGTCAGGCATTAGTGCCTTACTTGCAAGTTGGTTCGCTTGTTCATTAACTTTTACTCTGACATGCCCAGGTATGTAGATCCAGGTGAGAGTAGTGAAGTGTGACTTTCAAATGCTGTCCACCAGTGGAGACTACTTTTAGTAGTTTTCTGAAGCATGTTTATGGAGTCTTGATATGACTACTGAATGTGTGGCTGCTTGTTCTATCGGTGAACAATAAGAGTACCTAATCTAGTATCTAATCTAAGCTGGGATCACCTTGAGAGCCAAGGTCTATATATAATAGAAAACCAATACCTTCAGGCTAGCAGGTGAGCATCTACCCACTGCACCAATGTGGCTTCTCTAATTAAATGTGTGGATAATATAATTCTAAATTTTATAGTGACAGAATGAACCAGATTTTATACTGTGTAGGACTCCTGTTTTCTTCTCTTTTTTTTTTTCCTACCCATACTTAATTCCACTTGCAAGAGCGATATTTTGCATCTTGTTAGTACCCCTCTAGCTCAAAGGCTAGTAAGTCTGACTGAGAAGCATTTTGTAAGATCTTATATGTTACGTATGGCATAAACTGAATTCAGAAATACAGTTGTATGAAATGCAAAACTTGTCACAAATGCTGTGTACAGTCTTCTTAGTCCCAAAAGTCGTGACAAGATCAGTAAATCTGTGTTTTCATATAATCTGTCAACTTAATGCTTCAAAACTCTCATAATTGTTACTGGGATCTGAGATTTATCAGCAGAATGTTGTTTTTTTTCTGTTGCCAGCTGCTGTTGGGCAGAACTTGAGAAAGATTCTGGTACCTGCAAATGTCTTATTTTATTTATTTTTACACCAGAATGTGGAGCTTTATTTATAACTCATCTGTGCGTTTGGTGTCAAGACAACGATCTCACTGTGTAAGATAATGAGTTAATGATCATCAGGTTTGTATGTTTGCTTCAACGGGAAATGATAATCACGTATGTACATTGTATTCTAAATATTTCATGTATGTACTGATCTGTGACGACATTAACATTTGCAGGAAGGTGCGTACACTTACATAAGTCAACCAGTATGTACTGTTTGTATATAAGTACTGTCAGTATATTGACCATATGTGTATGTGGGGAGTGAACACAGATCTGTAGGATGATGAAGTTGTGGTTTTGACCATGTTTGTCTATGGTTTCCAAACTTATGTAAATGGTTTTCAAAGCGTATGAATATGATTTTAAACACATGTATACAGTTTTGAACATACATGCACGCACACACAAATATATATACACACACATACATATATACAGGTTTGAAAACATAACCATAGGGTTTTGAATAGGGTGTTGAAGATACAAGCTTATGGTTTTGAACACAGATGAATATAATTTTTTTAAAAACATAATATGGGGTGTTCAAAATGTATGCATACTATGTGAATAGGCAACAGTGCAGTACTGACAAGATTGATAAAGTGCTGAACATGTGTATATGTGACAGTGTGGTTGATGTTTGTTCAGATCAAAAGAGAAGAGGGAATCCCCAACAACAGACATCTTATTGCGGATGTTAATCTAGGTATTCAGGCCAGCTTGTGTGATTTCAGTGCAACCTGATTCACCAGTCTGCAAGAGGCAGTCCTCTGATTCAACACCAAACCTTGAAGCAACAAAGCAGATCGGGTCTTCTTACATGAAGCTGTTGAAGAATGTGAAGCAGTACATTTCTTCTTCTTTGCACTGACATGATTATAAAATCTTGGAGGACATTTTTGGTTGTTTAGCCTCTTCTGGACTTTGGTTTTGTTCGAGAACTTGTGTTTTATGTGCACATCCAATTTACAAATTTGGCTTATTTGTATGCAGACTGTTGGTTTTTGATCTCTTAGGCAGATGGGATTTTTACAACATGTTTGCTAGGGGGGCAGTAGTCTGTCCCACACAGGGAGAGCAATATATTTGATTACCTTATAATCTCTAGTTTTTTTTTTCTTTTTTGAGATGCCTTCTTTTTTTTTTTAAGCCTGATAAGTTCTGTCCAGATAATACCCGATGATGGCATTTGTCAACCATCGTCTTTAGAACAGAAATGTTATGTGTACTTCTCTCCATGTAATATTATTTCAGCTCTTTGACTAGTGAAAAGATAGTGCTGATGTTTTTGTGTGTGTGTGACACATTTTCTTGCACAACATTGAACATAATATCCAGAGACAATATACCTTTGAAACAACCAAAAGGCACTAACAAAAACTGCAACAGTTCTGTATTTTCAGTTTATGATATAAGAATGATTCAATAGGTTTCATAGTTTGCAGTGTGCCGTAAAATAGTAGTTCCGAGTGATACTGCATAATAGAAATAGGTTATCAGTTATCAGTGGTCTTAAACTTATGGCCGTCACTGTACTGTACTGAAAATGAGGTTAAGACCAGTATTTGAACACCTAGTGAAATCAAGATCACTGCTGCAACACTAACAATGTCAGGTCCACCATTGTGTTGTGATTGTACAATAAATGACAATGGTGAGTCCATTTGTTTGTTGTACTTGAACACTGAATGACAAGTTTATTATTTTGTTGTCACTTTACTTCAGCACTGAATGACAATATGAAATTCATCATTTTTGCTGTACTTGAGAGCTAATTATAATTAAATAAAGTCTGCTGTTTTGTTGTACACTAAATGGCAGTTTGAGGTCAACATTTTGTTATACTTAAACACTAAATGACAAGTTCTCCATTATTTTAAATTTGTACACTACATCAAGACCATCATGAAATGATTCACTATAGAGACAAAGGGTAAACAAACAATGAAAATGTCTTTCACAATGGATGAAAATATAGAAAAGTATTTTCATTGTTGAATTCATGGTCCGCCAAGTGCGCTTCCTATAATGGCATAATACAAGGGTTCAGATCTGCATGTTGTGTAACTGTTGGCTCAATCGACCAGTACCCTGCAAAGATTATAAATGAGTGGCCAAAATGGTACACCATGCTGCAGTATTGGTTAATGAGGAGTATATCACTGTCACTTATTATTAATTGTTTAGTGTGTCTTCTATCATTGGGTACATTATTAATTTCTCGATTACCTACTTTATTGGCATGTTTACGTTGAGAATGTTCTATTGTGTTAAACAGAGGCATGCGAATGACATCCCATGGAAATACCAGTTAAGGCCAGGGATGAAGTTTTACCTCTCCAATGTGATGCCCATGTAGCATGATCTCTCTCTCTCGGCCGGCCCTTTTAACTTGATTATCTATGCATCTCCGATTGATTTTTATTATATTTGTAAGAAGCTCTGGTCTGGTCCATTTGATTCCTTTTAGTGCCAGACAATTGTGACTTTAATTAACACTGTCTGTTGAGATAAGTGAAACTAAAGAAAAAGTAAAGGACCTTTTCCAAGCCTTTAGGTGTATTAGGCATATAGGGCTAGACGTATATTTTATAGACCAATCAGTGGAAGATGTGGTCAGCATCATGCCGGCCACCTTTACTTCCCAGGACCTTAACTCACGACCTTCGGATTGGCAGGTGAGCTTCTAGCCGCTACACCACAGCGGCTCCCTTCAAGACTGTACACTACAGAATAACAACCACTGAGCATTATAACTGCATAGTATTCAGCTAGTTAAATTAATACAGTGGTGAAGACAGTAGCCAGGTCTGTTAGATGGATGTTCACATACAAAAACTCAACAACAAAAATGTTCTGGAACAAACTCAAGTCCAGAAATAGACAGACAACCAGAAACTTTAGCTAGAATTTAGAGCCAGTGAACGCAAGGAAGAAGTTGTGCCTGTTTGTGATCCTACATCTACATCATTGTGTTTTGTTTAGCAAACCACCATAATTGAATATTGAATAAGCGATTGTTGAGCATGGCCGACATGAGTGGGTTATTTTTGGATGTATTGTTTACTGCATAGTGACACGGAGAACTTTAATATCATGACTTGTAAAAATTTATTTTCTATAGAATATTTGAAGATATGTAAAAATTGTGTTGTACATTTTTCATTACCTGTAAAGTTGTGTGGTTAAACTGATTGTTGACAAATAATGCTAATTCATAGGACAGTTGTTGAAACCATAAATGTTATATATAATATACAAATATATATAAAAGAGTAATAAATCTGGCTTCATTCTACATTTTTACATTCGATTTTATATTGTTTTCAGTGTTAATGTTTGTATGTGTCTCTTTAAACTTTCATCTTGAATTTGGAAGGTTACTGTTGTTAAGAAATGTGAGATCAGTTCTGCAATCCCCTTGTGGGTTCTGGGGCTCCATTGAGAAAAGGGGGGGGGGGGGGAATAGACCTACTGGTCCCTTCTCTCAAACAGGCTTGTTGTGGAAGGTGGCTGTAGGTTTCTATGGAAACCAGATATGTTGGGCTGAAAGGTGCACATATAAGCTTTTATTTAAACCGTGACACAAACTACAATTTTAAGAATGAATTCAAGAAGAAGAAAAGTTCTACAATCTATGAAAACGCTGAGTTAATTTTTAAAAAGCCGACATCACAGTACTCAGGACATACCCACAAGCATTTTGTCCGCATCTTCAGCAGCCAGTGCATAGTTCCAGTGGTAGCAATTGGATTCTGTGTCCAACATTAGAAAAGCACTGCGTCGTCAATGTAAGCAGCCATTACATTAGATCAGTATTTGCACAAGCAATTAATCGCTTCCGAGTTATATGGCAGAGAGGCGGTTCAATGAGTTTAGTAGTGACAAGTTTTTTGCTTGTTACCTTGAAAAGGGCTTGCATTGAACACAGTGCAGTTTGTGAGAGAATCCTTTTCTGACTTGCTATCTACCACATCTGTGAGCATCTTATCTATAAGGTCTCATTGACACCTCTAATTTGAGAAATCAGTGGGGTCTGCAATAAGGGTACTATATATAATAATCAGACAATGTATTCTTCGTGTTCACCAGTTTTGTCCACTTCTTGACTCTAGTCCTGTTCCAAAACCTGAGTATTGCGTGTACATCCGTTTCACTGGTCTGACTCATTTGCATGCAAACTGTTGGTTCCTTGCCTCAGGCAAATATACTCTGACTTCAAAGGAAGCTCCCAATTAGTCGACTCTTACAACATGCTTTTGGGCAGGCAGTGGGTCTATTCTTGTTTTCCCCCACAATGGGGACCTGGAACCCACAAAGGGAAGACTGATCAGAATGATTGGCACTGATAGAAGGACACCCTAGACAGGTATTCTCAACCTTTTTACACACCCAGGGCCCATAAACAGTGGAAAATGTTTGGCGGCCCACCTGACAGCTCAACAAACACACACACACACAAACGAACCAAAAAAAAAACATTTAGAAAGCAATTTATTAAATCTGTTGTCACAAATTTACAATTTTTTTTTTAAGCTAACGTGACATCTGTTGCTGCTTAATGGTTAAAAGATCTTACATGAGGCTTGAGCATTGTTTCTGATACATGATGTGCTACAATAACAACCATTCGATTTCTCCATTTGGTTTTATTTATTGACATGCCCGAGTCTTTTCACACGAACAGGAAGTCACTAAGGTGGTAATCCTATAGGCTGGAAGCGAAAATCCACCTAGGTTACCTCATTACATGATTAAGCAGGATATATTCTGGCGACCTGCAGGGACATTTTCATGGCCCACCATTGGGCAGCGGTCCATGTGTTGAAGAACACTGCACTAGACAACATAACAATCAAAAACCATGGTTATTATGTCGAACCTGTCGCCTCCAAATGACGACAGTGCCTCGCTGCAGAAACAAGTGTACTAAGACATATGACCAACTAGACTCCTTCCCGCTCCCAACAGTGTTTTCATTAGCCATGTCCATCATACAGCTTAAATCCACAACTATGGAATACAGACGGAATTCGTCTCAAACCACTTAAATATCTTTGCAGTGGAACCCACAGGAGCAAAGAAATCGAGACAGACCAAAAATCCACACGGAAAAGGAAATTAGAAATTGAAGTTAAGACAGAGAAGACATGGGGCGAGAGGCATGCAATAGCAAAAGATAAGACAACTTGGCATGGGTTGGCTGAGTGCCTATGCTCCATTTGAGAATAAACAGCAGAAGAAAATTGTCTATATCGTCTCTTGTTCTGGCTGTATACTTTAAAATCTTCATCTATCTTCTGGTGTTATCTTGTCACTTGTACCACTATCTACCTCTTTCTCACATGATCCTGACTACATCCCCATCAGGTGCCAGTTGGTGTTTAACAGTATTAAGCTAGCATCATTTACCCGAAAGGTCTAAGTGATTAGTGAAGATTGTCACCACAGCACTCCTGACAGATCCATAGGTGCTTCGATCTCCTACTCAAAAGCTCCACAAGCGTAAAATGACTGTTAATGCCTGTTCTGTTTAAATAATTCAAACGTGTTGTCTACTTGCAGCTCCATAAGGCCTCAAGTGCGGAAAATAATTCTCTACTTCTTTGTCTTTTAGAAGAAGTGGCTAAAGTACTTCACTGGTTTTTTTTTTTTATTTCTTCTGCAGTAGCACAGTGGCTAGATGCTCAACTACCCACCCGAATGTCTTAGGTTTGAATCCACATTGAGCCAAACTTTCAAAACTATTCTTGGTTCCCAGGTCGACCGAGCCCAAAATGGGTACAAGGTAATGTCCTGGAAAGTAAAGCCGGCCAGCATGATATTGACTAAATCATTCACCAAAGTTCCAACTTGTCTATGAAAAAAGTCTAACATCATATCCCTGACGTGGGATAAAATGTGTCCTTGACAAATTTAGCAAAAAAGGTGAACTCACTCACTCACTCACACACATAGACACACACACACAACCACAAATTAAAAAACAACAAAGTTTAGCAACTACTAGGGGTATGCTATAATTCACTCTCGAATATAGTACATTGTATATACACAAAATAAAACACTATTTCAATGATCCCTCATTGTTCAAATCAACTATCCCTCAAACAGGAACAAGAATTCCTAGGTCGTTCTAATTGCAGAGTATGTTGACAGTTTTTGTTGCTTTCTGTCCGTCAGAAGCCTCAGACATCTGATTTTTCTTGAACTGCTTTTGCGGCTGCCTTAGCTTCCTTCTCTTCTTTCTTGATGTATTCCATACTAGAAAACACACAATTTAAAAAAAGCAAGTTAATTTACATGACCAGACATAAAAAAACTATAATAAATGGGGGGGAGAAGAGCAAGGTTGTTTAAAGATGTCAATGACCATTATTATCTAACTAGTTTATCACAAATTTACGACAAATGGGTCACCCCCACAGCTGCTCCTCTCTTGTATCAGCGAAAACCACAACCATTTCCACGCTGTCCCCTGTGACAAAAATTAAACAGTCTCGGTAAAGCCAAGAGCCTACACAAAAAAACTGAAGGCATCAGACAGCTGTCGGAAGTGCCAACAGAAACAGAGACACTAAGTAAGGGAAGCAGAAGTTAGGCACAGATAGGCAGCTGCACATGAAATTCTGCATAAGACACCACCAGTTCTGTGTCAACAGGCCACTCATTTTTCAAATCTACAGTTCATAGCATAAACTACGCTGAACACAGTCGTTGAGGTTTGAACAACAGATCAACATCATGGCACATGGGTAATAACTAGGGCTGTACCGAATATTCGCTTCATATTTGCTTCGGGGCTGAATAGTGCACCTATTGACTATATGGTATTCGGCCAAATAGTTGCAGTCGGGCCGAATACGAATAGTAGTTACCTTACACCCGCTTCTGCATACATGGACTTAATGCTGACATCATGGAATGATTGGTTTTTTTTTTAAAGCTAATGCAGCTTTCTTGCATGAACTAAGCTGTCAGTGACAATTTCCAAGTTTAGTTACTTTTTATAATACTTAGGATTCTTTTATTCCTAGTTATTAGTTGCCACAGACTGACTGAAGGATGCAAAACATAAATGTTTTAAATGTTTACTGTTCTCTACAAATACTAACTAGACATGGAAAAAATATAAACTCCGGCTACATCCAAGTCGATATTATGAAAATCAAACGAACGGAAACATATAAGTACTTGGGTGCAAACTTCAACTGCTCCAACATGCTGAGAGAAGAAACACAATCTAGAATACAATCTAGAAATAAAGTATACTATGCCCTTCAATATCTGCTAAAGTCAAAGTGTCTGTCTCGTAACACCAAGATTAAAATATATAAAACGTTCATAAGACCAGCCGTTTTATATGGCTCTGAAACTTGAAGCAGAAATAAAAGAGATAAGGTCTTATTACAGGTTTTCGAAAACAGTCTTACGACAAATCTTTGGACCCATCAAAGATGCTAACAGCGGGGAATGGAGAGTGAGAAGCAACAATGTAACACATAATCTGTTTAAATCACCATTGATCACTGGCATCATGAGAGCTTACAGACTAAAATGCTTGGGGCCTTTTGAAAGAATGTCAGATGACAGAGAAGTAAAACTGTATACACCTGAGAGAGGAAGGGGCATAGACCCTGAGGCAGACATAAAAAAGAAGTTCTAAAAGAAGACCTGCAAACAACTGGTGTCACAAATTGTGAAGAGAAGGCCAGCCAGAGAGATGAATGGAGATGAGTGATATCTGCAGCAGTAAACCTCAAGGGCTCAGAATGCTAAAGAAGAAGATGACTATTCTGTGCTACTTTTTGTGAAGTAAAAGTTCAGCGTACATTTGACATTATGAATGTTTTTTTTTTACATATATTGTATACACTATTCGTATTCGTTTTTGGCCGAATAGTTAGCCCCGTTATTCATATTCACTATTTGGTACAGCCCTAGTAGTAAGTAACCCATAAGTGCTCCATTCTTCTTCTAACTCAAGTCTGAATCCATAAAGCTCAGCACAGTGCACAGGCTCTGTAGGACAGCCGAGGATCCTGAAATACTTTGACAGCATGGAAGCGAAAGCAAAAGACAGAAGGACATTGTGTGAGTTGATTGGGGACATATTCATATTGTGAGATAAAAGTTGGCCCTTATCAGGGATTGAACCCGGAACTTCTAGCACTTGAGGCGGACACCATGATCCGAGAACACGCAGCCCCTGAACACAGTCAGAAATTATATTCTAAATAAAATCCACATTTTTCAGTGTCATGCTAATGCACTCAGCTCAGTAGCTGGGCAACGAAACTGTACTTTCCATCCACAAATGGTGGAAGGGGAATTTGGCTATAGCCAACTGTAGCCAGAAGCAAAAAACTTGTCAAAAGTAAAAAAGTCCATCTTTGGCTTGTGCAGAATTTGTTTTATAAGTCTTGGCTGAATTTTTTTTTTATTTCAATAATAATAATAGACAAATATATGTTGCACAGAGTTTACACCAACATATATTGAAGTACAAAACATGAGTTCTTTTTTTTTTTTGAGATAAACAAACTACATTGTGTCTTCTTACACTCTGATTCTCACCAACTGAAGTCTAAGATTAATCAGATGTTCATCGTATGATTTTTACTATTAAAAAAAAGGAGTACTGCTTATACTTGTATCTAAGACGCTCTCTTGTATAAGCACACCCTGCTTATATAAGAAGAAGAAGAAGAAGAAGAAGCAGGAGAAGCAGCAGAAGGAGAAGAAGAAGAAGAAGCTGCAGCAACAGCAGAAGAAGAAAAAAGAACAACAACAACTCACTGTGCAATTCTTCCAAGCTGAGAGGCTCCTGTAAGTCCCACAAAGAAGTTCACAGCGAAAAGGCTGTAATTCTTGGGAATGATAACCAGTGAATACCGGGACCAGATGAATCCTGAAAACATGTAATGGTTATCAGCTGTAACAAAATACAGCAGCAGCACAGAAAACACAGATAAATCTGACAATATTTAGCAATAGAATTTACAGATAAAGCAGACAATATCAGGCAAGATAATATGCAGATAAAAAAAGACAAAATGTAGGAATACAATACAGGACAAACAAAGCAGACCAAATTTAGGAACAGAAGAGGGGAATTAAATGAGCAGATTGATAGTTTAAGGAAGCGGATATAAGCAGATGAACTGGGACATCTCTTTGCTGAGAGTCTAAAAATGAAAATGACTGTAACTATGGCAAAATGCAGACAGCAATAACTACAGTAAGAAGTGCTAAAAACAAAAAAGCATGCACATTATACGTGTCATAAAAATAAACATATAAAATATGTGCAATATTTGGGGATTTAACTCCTTCGGTGCCATGCTATGCACCAAATGTTTCCTGGTAATTCCAAAGATAACATGATATTCTCACTGTCTTTTATTAGTCAGATGTTATATTGACCATTTGTCGTCACCCAGCAACTGAGTGCATGGCGCAATTCTGTGAGCTGCGGATTAAATTTGGCATATTTTTTTACTGTGACCAAAGAGGGGTTGTGAATTGTAAATTTAGATTTAGAAAATGGCGCAGCCTAATGTCACAATATTGGTGGTGCCCTTATGTGATTAAATTGATCGCATGTGCAACTGCTGACCTGTTGGCAACTTCTGCTACCGTCGATGATGAACTGCATTTCTAATATCGGACTGTTTGTGTTAGCACTTTGGATGGGTATGCTTTTAATGCATGTGTATGCTAGTGCATATGCTGAGACAGCAGTCTGTCAATCTTTCCCCTGCCTGTGATAAACATTCTGTGTTTTTCGTTGGCACAGGAGCAGGGCAACTATAGGGTGACCCGTTTGCTATGAAGCTGAAACTAAGATTACCAAGAATGACCATTTGTACCTAAATTAACACTGCTTCTGTTCCATTGTGTCTCTACTGAACGCCTTCAGATGTAAATATTTATTGCTTTTAAGCTCAGCACTGTGAGGCAGACATAGTTGCATTAGCAGTTTCTAAGGGCTGAAGGAGTTTTAAAATGAAGAGAGAATCCAGTCTTACTTAGATTTCATTCTTCCGCTTTCCTACTCCAGCATTTGTTCCTACATTTGTTTTTCAACGACTCTTTTAACAACAAAAAATGACAAACAGCACTGCCTACACTATACTATCATCTTTAAAGATTTAAAAAAAACATTTTTAGAAGCGGTCATAAAATTTGTGGTAACAGGTCACTGCAGATAAGAAACAAGTCAGAGAAATACATTTATGGGCAACTGAACCCAATCAAGCTTGGTAGACAAGAAAGGTTCCAAATAGCTGGCAGAAAGCAATCATTGTCCCCATTTGGAAAAATGAATGGGACAAATTAGACTTTGAAATATACAGAGGCATCTCCATTTTGAGCCATACTGGAAAGATGTTTGCAAAAATATCGGAATTAAGAGCTCAACGCCCACTGCTTAGACACCCAATGTCTCCCTTCCAGCAAAACAGCAAATGATTAAAAGCATCTTTTACCCTACTTTATGATATCAGTGCTAAACATGGACAATGAAGAGGGCACTAGAAGAGAAAATAACTACATGTGAAATGTGCTGTCTCCGCAAGGTTCCTAACAATACAAGAAGAGACAGGGTTACAAAAAGCAGCATTACAAAAAAAGTTGGAATAAGACCATGTCTGGATTGTAATGACAGACAAAGAATGAAATGGTACTGCCATCTAGTGAGAATGCAGCCAGACCAGAATGCATAGAAGACTTTTTACAGTAGAACATCTGGGAGAAAGGCAAGAGGAAGACCAAGAAAGAGATAGATAAATGGTGTAGATGAACAAATCCATAACCCAAGCCAACCCAAAAGCGCAAGACAATTACAGAAAAGCAAGACACTGGGCTACAATGTGGTGGTATAAATGAGACGAAAATGTCAAATAAAGAAGAACCCAGTCAAAAATGTCAGTTTTGCAGCTTCTCATGGCGAATTAGTAAACCAAAATAAGAGTGACAATGATAGTCAAGAATAAAAAATTACTATTACTAGTAAAGGACCCTTTTCCCCGCCTTTAAGCATACAGGGCTAGACCTATATTTTACAGACCAATCGGCACAAGACAGGTGATGTGGTCGCCTTTACTTCCCAGGACTGCACCCAGTACCCACTCAAGGCTTGGTCGACCTGGAAACTATTACTAGACCAGATGAGTAACATATTGGTCAAGAAAAGTGAGTAGACATTAAAAAAGAGTTAACAGTTATCAACAAGAATGTCAAGCTTCACCGTCTCTGTGTGGGTTCTAGGGCCCCACTTGTACATATGTCGTAAACATCTAGTAATTAGGGTTTTGCAGAAACCTCTTGTGTCGGGCCCAAAAGTACAGATATCGCAGCCTAACTGCAAACCACAACACAAACAGCCGACAGCATTTTTAAGGGAGAATGAAGAAGAAGCTATATTGTTAGAAAGACTGATAACAATAACACAAAGAAAGTAATCAACTTTACCGGTTGCACACAAGGCTGCACTCTGTCGTACACTGAGTTTTTCAGCTGGTCGTGTCATATCCCCCAAACCTGCAATTACAAGTGCCTGCAACAAAAAGTCACAAATTCTTATAACAGCTGTTACACACCTTCAATGATCACTAGACATATGCTGTAACTTCACATGCATAATAACTATGATACAGCAGCTACCAGTTCACCTGTAGAAAGCCGTATGAATGCTGACAGTAATAAAGACATTCTTGAATGTTAAACTGAAAATCAAAATCACAGCACTCGGGACACTATAATAAGCACACCATCCCATATCTTCAGCAGCAAACGAAGAGTTCCAATTACGACGGTAATAGTAACTGCCTGATTGTACATCCGTCTCGCCTTTCCCTTGGGTGTTCAGGTCTCCTGGTAACTCAACGCAGCGCCATTCTTCTCAGACCATAATGATTTATTTGTGCCCCAGAACTGTTCACGCACTCCCAATAGGCCCTGACAACATCTAGCTTGTCATAAATCAGTTAACCACAAAGCGGTGCAGAACCAGCCAGTCTATCTGCCTGCTTGTTTTCTAACACACTACCATGACCTGGAGAAAATATCCAAAGAACACTATCTACCTGGGACCTCTGAAGCTAAAGACCTTCTGTTCTGCACAAATGTACACTATGCCACATAACCGAGCAATTGATCTGATGGTCTGCTGGTAATGAAACACGTAAAACCCGCAGAGAAAACACAACAATCCTGGCCATAATAGTTAAGTAAGCAAAGGACCCCTTTCCCGTCTTCAGCACATCGGGCATACAGTAAAGGACCCTTTTTTACGCCTTCATGCATACTGGGCATATAGGGCTTGACATATATTTTATAGACAAACTGGCACTTGATGGGCGATATGGTCAATATCATGCTGGCAACCTTTACTTTCCAGGACTCTGCCTGGTACCCATTCAAAGCTGGGTCGACCTAAGAGCCAAAATCATTTTTTTTAAATGTCCAGTACCGTCAGGACCCAAGACCACGACATTTCAATCATAGTCGAGTGTCTAGCCGCTACACCATGGCGGCTGCCAGCTGGCATATAGTGCCAGACATTTTTGTAAAGACCAATCGGCACTCGATGGGTAAAGTGGTCAACATCACACAGACCGCTTTTACCTACCAGGGCTAAACCTAGGGCCCATTTTCAGCAGGGCCTCCCTGTGAGCCGAGATCAATTTTTAAAGGGAGTGGGGGGGGGAATTTCGTTTCTATGTGGATTTTAACCCTAGACCTTCGGACCGGCAACAAGTGTCTAACCACTACGTTATTGCAAATCCCAACAACCTAGACACAGCCATGTATGACCTATGTCAGGTCACGCACTGTGCCTCTCCGTGGAGTGGGTACAGGCCTGATCCTGCACACCTCGGTCGTTTCTGGACTGGCAGATCTGAAAAACACAGGGTGCCCCTATTTTGAGCAGAAAATGGGACATCCGACTAATATTCTGAGCTGAAAACGGGACATCCTACCACTATTTTGAGCTGAAAACAGGACATTCAACTAATATCTTGAGCAGAAAATGAGACATTCTACTAATATTCTGAGCTGAAAATGGGACATCCAACTAGTTACCACTATTTTGAGCTGAAAATGGGACATCCAACCAGTTACCACTATTTTGAGCTGAAAACAGGTCATTCCATTACTATCTTGAACAGAAAACGAAAAATTCTAATATTCTGAGCTTAAAACAGAACGTCACAAGCAAGTCGGTTTAGTCCCGTCCCCACTATTCTAGAATTGTGTTTTATTATTATTCATTTAGGAACTAATACATTTTAAAGACATGGGAAAATACAGACCTACACATTGTATAAGCCATAACAATTAATCAACCTCAGATGGCTTACATAGTGTTTATGCCCTCTCCTGACCTGTTATTTATGTGGAACTTGAGGACTGTCCCGAATAATAGAAGTATTTCTTCAGAAAAACCAATCTTTTTTAAAAAGAAAAAACGCTACCCAGGAATAGACGCAGCAGGCAAGCATAACACTATTTCCGCAACTTTGAGGATGATGCCATGCTTAATGTTTGCCTCTTTTTACTTATAAAACTCAAGCACCCATCTGTCTGCCATACAAAACATTTCTTCGTTAGGGTATTTCTGAAACTGTGCTGTGATTTATTTTGTTCATTGTCACTGATCAAATGGTCTTGGCTCGTCTTTTGAACTAGAAAGGATACTAAGCTTTCAAAAATCTATAGGGAATAGTGGAAATTTCTGGTATACCAAATATGTATCATCTGGAGAGGAGCCAACTGAAATATATCAGCTCGGCCATAGATAGTTTACCATATGTTCAGGTTTTCCAAGGTGGTGTTATATAAAAGTATAAACAACGTAAAAATAATCTTCCCTTTTTATATGGCTAGAATATTCCAAAGAGTTCAAGAGGTTGTGACAAATTGCTGATGCCTCACATCTGGACAGAATGTGGCTTTTTTTGCAAACCCCCGAGCGTATATAGTACTTTTCAGTGTCTCCGACATTTCCGCCAACCATAAACTGCCTTGTCGACCTCTGGTTCTGTTACCACCGTATCTATATAACACTGCTCTCTCTAGTGCCCTGTCTGATACTAATCTTATTTCACAGTCAAATCACGTTATCTGTTGTCTACAAATAAATTCACTATTGATTCTGTGCCGACTCTCCCCCTGATATCATCATTCCTAAGACGATCTTTCCTTTTAACCCAAGCATTTCATTTATGCCGTGACTAATTTTCTTCCGTCTTCTGAACCTTTTAAACGTAAACGACTAACACTAAAATAATAATGTTGAAAAAAAAATACAGATTAAAAGTGGATTTAGTCACTGGCTTCAAAACCCGAACCACTGTCGCAAAGAAATGAATCAGTATGCCATTTATTTAACTTTGCTAGGGGGTGGGGGGAAGAGAATGCTACTATGAACATTCCCATCAACACATTTTTCGTATTGAAAGTGTCTAAAGCTAATGCAACCCAATTTGTTCTACATAAATATAAGTCTACATTATATTCTGGAGCCTTTTGGGAACAAAAATTGTTTTATAAAACTGGACAATTGCTTATTTTTTGGTACCGAGGAGACGGCCGGGACACGCCTGGGAAAAAATGTGACTTTCCCGGTGAAAACGAGACGTCTGGTTACCCAAGATCAGTGGTCGGCAAATCGCGGCTCGCCAGCCGCATGCGGCTCTTTAGTGACATGAGTGCGGCTGGGCCAGTCGGCCACAAATCAGTTTTGACTCAGAAAAACATGGTTCTTGAAAAGAAATTTGGCTCTAAACAATTGTTTAATCGTTTTGCTGCTGATTTTGGGCTTATTTGACTAATGAGTTTGCCGACCACTGCCCTAGATAAACAGCTGTGCAATACGAAAATAGTGGATATGGTCCTTCAGTTAGTTAGTTGCGTGTTCTTTACAGTTCCTCGCAGAATCGAATCCAGCATTTTGGTTGTTGGTGATTTCACTAGACAATGTTACGTTCGCTAGTCTGCCACTGAAACTTAAAAAAGCCAGAGTGGGGCTTCAATCAAAAAAATTACTCAAGATGCTATCGCAAGCAGCGTCCCCCATATCCTCCCGATCTTTTTAACGTCACGCCCCAGCTCTCTCTCTCTCTCTGTTGTTTTGGTTTGCTTTTATTTCTATGCCCTTGTGGGTTCCAGTGTAAAGACATTTTAGTAACGATGTTCTCTCAAATAATATACGTCCTACTTTTGTGAAATGGAGCTCTTTCTTGTTAATAAATTTAATCTCGCCTGTTTTTAAAATCGATGTCGTTTGGCGTAGATCTTCTCTCGCATCTACCTAGTATACTGATACTACTGACCGATGTACAATGAGGACAATCTGTCGATTAACTAACTAACTAACTAACCTAATGATACTAATTTATACCACTGACATGTTACACAGCCGCAGTTTAAACCCGTCTAACATCCTCACTCTCGACCTCCCCTGCCTCTTTAGCATTTCCACTTTCCTGTTTTCACGACATTCGCAACTTTTCTCTTTACCGTGCCCAAAGAAGTCGGGCTGTCTACTTCTAGGGCGAATCTTCGTCCGCGTTAATCCGAAGAGGTAACCGCATTGTGTCCGTTTACTGCATGGCTGCGATATTTGCGCCTTTCGGCCGATACCTCCAACTTCTGCCCGCAATAGTTGACCGGGTTAGCTATCACAGTTTTCTGAGGCGAATAATCGGTTCTCTGCGAATTTCTGTCAAAACATCTTTATCACGTGACATGTGTACATGTCCTTTAGCAGTGGTCTCCGTCCAACCTTGGGGGGGGGGGGGGGGGGAGGTCAATGACGTTTTAAGCAATTTTGAAAATGATTATTTGTGTATTTGTTAATAATCCGTTTTATTATTATTAAAAATTATAAAATATGTTTTTTAAACTATAAAACCTAAAAGGACCTTTTTGTTTTGTTTTTGTTTTCAAAAGCAGTTTATATGTCTAGGGTTAGAAATCTCATTGATGTGATGACAAAGGTGGTGACAGAACAAATTCTGACCAAAACGTCATTCATTCATAAAGCACATATTTTCATTGCACATCTTAACATCTACTGAGTGCTCATGATTCGCGTACGTATATCCGTGACTGATTCAATGTAGCTCTTAAGCATTTTCTCACCTCAGCTGACAAAGATATACTACACAGAATATTCATTCCCTGTAAAATGGTAAAATGTTTCTGCTTAAGCTAATCTTGTCTTAAGCCTTTAATACATCTTAGTTCTGCTGTTATCGGGATCTCTACACATTTGAACACACTATCATGTTTCTTGGCCCATTGTCATTTGCGTAAGTTTTGGCACAACGACCTGAACTGGTCGTTCTGCCTTTGAATCTGTGAGCCATTATGTGAAATAAGCAATGAGAACTGACACTCAGGCATTTAAAAATGATCAGGTAATTCAAAGGCTGACAGGCAACCTGTTGTAGGTGACAGCTAAGTTATATGCACGGCCAGCTCCAGTATTAGAGAAGGCAATGGTTATATGTAACTACCAGACCCCGAAGCTACTTTCATTCAGTTATGAGACGGATCGATCACAAGTTCATTGTATGAACTGTTCATACTGTAGGAGTGCGTCAGTTGTAGGCATCACTGGCGCTTCAAAACCAGTTACCTAAAGTCTCATGGCTATACAAGCACCTTACATATAAATATACCTAACCTTCAGTATGCTGCGTACATGCGCTCAGAGACTGGGGTAGAAAGCGAGCGTGTGTGAGAGACAGATTGAGACCGTGGGGAAAGGGGGGGGGGGGGGGGGGGTTAATTACTAATGTTATTTTTAAACAGACCATTGTGTGTTTTAGCTAGAAATAACGAGCTCAAACAATCTGTCAGAATTTCGGGGGTTGGAGGGTGTGAAGCCAAAAATAGACTGACCATTAAAAAAAACCGTTATCTTGATAGCGAATGCGAATTAGCAGATTTCACCAGTGAGTTACTAGGGGCAATAATAAAAGAAATAGTAACAAAGCAACAAAGTATGTGTATCATAAAAAGTGAATAAGGAGGGTTGGTGTCAGATCAGCTACTCCGTTCCAAAGAAATAAAGTGTCTGCAAAATCCTACTAATCATGTACAAGCCGGTTAACAAAAGAAAGCTCGACAATCCAAGATGAGAAGGGTCTGATTTTGTAAATATTTGATGCAGTTTGCAGAAAGCTATAAGGGGCTTGAATCAACTGGCAGACCTACCCTACCTCTTTCGCCTAGGAAAATCTCCAGAATTGGCGTCTAGAATGTTTGAACTACAAGTTTACGTCCAGCCGACGAAAGCACGTATACACTGTTCAATTTCTCTTAGTCCATAGGCATTACGTGAATAGTTGCTCAGTTCAAGTTAGAGTTAATATTTAGATTATCGATTTTATTGCACCGGGTTTTATCCTACATGTCCCGGCCTCTCCCCTGTCGAGAGCGTCGCCCAAAACACGTGCTCCGCAGCTGCAGCAACGTTCTTCGGAGATCCATGTCGTGAACTGAACGAGGTGTCCATGAAATGAACCCACGACCCTAAGAGCGCAAGGGTAAACAGCTTGACCACTCTGCCACGGAGACGCCCCCCGCTCCATTTTTTTTTCTCAGTGTGTGATTATGCAACGATCAATCGATCGATCAGTGTGTCCCCTCTGAACTGCGGCTGCTACTTAAAGCCTACATACGGTGCCATTTTAATGGTTTGGGATGAATTCTGTCCGTATTTCAGAGTTGTGTGGATTTCAAAGTGAAGTACAGACATGACCAATGTAGACACCCTTTTTTGGTGGTGCCTAGATGGTCATGTATCTTGGTACATTTGTTTCCATAGCGAGGCGCACACGCAATCTGAAGGTGATAGATCCGAACTACGGCGTTTGATCTTTATGTTGTCTAGTATGTTCTTTTATATTTTCAGCGGAAATCATGACAGCGTTTCACATTCATAATTGGCGCCTTTCCAAAAGGAAAGCCCAGGAGCCGTGATATATTTGCTATGTTCACACCGTGCTTATCAAATAGAAAAGACGCCATCTTTATATAATATGAACACAACTGCGCTTGTCCAGCACACAAAAAAAAAGGTCACCTATATGCCATTTTCACGTATCAATCAGAAATTAAGTTACAGTGAATAGTTTCGCAGCCGTCAAGTGTTAGTCGCCCCCGTGTGGGATGTAAATTTTTTGTTAGTTGAAGCCCCACCCTGGCTTCTGCCGGGGGCCCTGAACACGACCGGCCCCGGCTGACGGGTCGTGCTGCTGACGTCATCGGGTCGAGCTAACGATGCGTTAACGCAATGGTTTTCAAGGCACCCTGGGGAGCCGTGAACGTATGCCAGCGGTGCCGCAGCAATAATCAAGAAAAGTCGGCTAAAACTGTGAAATTATTCAAGAAGGCATGTAGATACTTAAAAAAGTTAAAATTTAAGTTATCTTCCCTCGCCACTGTCCAAAATAGTTTATTTCTTGTTTGAGAATCGCTGCGTAAACGCATCGTTAGCCCGAGCCGATGACGTCAACAGCACGGCCCGTCAGCTGGAGCCAGTCCTGCTCTGACTATAGGCGGGCCATAAATATGGCCTAGCGGCTGAAAGGGGTTTCTGGGATCTCTCCACGGGTGATCCTCATCCGCATGGTGGCACTTTGTGTTACCGGGTGTTTATCGCTTGTGTGATGTCCTGGTAGGGTACAACGAGAGAGAGAGAGAGAGAGAGAGAGAGAGAGAGAGAGAGAGAGAGAGAGAGAGAGAGAGAGAGTCCAGCTAGCGATCAGACGGACTATAATTCTCATATTTACATGTAGCCCTCATGGATAATCACAAGTGCAATCACCTGAAAACTATATCTGCGCACTCCTCCCCCTTCTCCAAGTTTATTCATGAATTTCTCATAGCTGAACGTCAACCGGAACGCACAATAATGGGCACCCATGTACTGTTTCTATACAAGTAGATCACTGTTTTTCTTCACTGTGAGGTCCACTGGGTACATGGCGGCAGGCACGCCAAAGGAAACAAATATAGGGCAGGGGCCTCATAAAGAGGCCATATTTTAACACTTATCAAAATTCTCTTTAAGAGTATTTGTTTATCAAATAAATTTCATATTATTTCTAGTACAGTATTTTATTGATATGCTTTTTTAAACACATTGCTATCCTTATTATTAATTTAATTTGAAAAATTATTTGTATATATGGTTAAAGCACGCCTCTTAATCCCTTTATCAAATTACTGGGGGCGCTCTAACAATTCCAGGGAGGGGAATCACGTGACCTAGGCCTATGTTCCGGTGCCTATGTACAGCGACACCTAGTAGATGTAGAGACTAATTGATGGGTGAAGTGGTCGATCGATCAATAATCAGTCCTCCCACCTCGTCGACTGCTTACAAATCTCAATCTGGATAGACCAACAAGACGACAGATCCTCGGACATCCCGCTCAATCCCAACTACAATTTTGGTCGTAGGAGAAAAAGAAAGTTGGAACATGCGACCACTGGAAAGATTTGTGGACATTGAGACAGAGGAAGACAACGCCAGACGATTCATAACAGTCTTCTGTCGATGCATGGAGGGGTGTTGGCACACGAACTGACACCTGCAGCTGAAGATCGCAAACTGGGGAGGCATGATCGCCCATGCCAGTCGGCAAGGTACTTGACGAGAATATATTTGTGTGTGTGTTCCGTAGGATTCTTCGGCTCTCCTCCGAACTTCCACCCCCGCAGTATTGCGGCCTGAAATATCCGTTCGGGGCGCAGTATAATTAAAAATACGGACTTGGAGTTCCCACCGAGGAACAAATTGCGGCAAAACTGCGGCAAAAACTAGGAGTAATTTACAATGTCACCAGACGCAACATTGCAGACGATAGTAGCAGACAATAAAAGCGACCGGTGACAATGTCGAGCGTTTTCTGCAGACGATAAAAGCGACCGTTGACAATTTCGAGACATTACAGACGATGAAAGCGATATGGAGGGTAGACCACGCGCTCCCACGCAGATTAGCAATACTGTTCTTCCAACTGAGGATTTAGCAGCGGTAGATGTCAGACTTGTCGGCATGCGCAAAACGCTATTAAACTCACCGCCGAGGGTATACCCCGCGCCGCTACGCGCGTCGCGGATGGGGAGCCAAACTAGGTGCCTGGGATTCACGAGCAAAGTAATTGGAGGAAGTTGCAGGAGATGCGGTAGCTGCCACTCGTGAGTCCCAGCCATCTAGTTTCGCCCCTATCAGCGCCGCCCATAGCAGCGCGGGGGATACGGTCGGCGGTGAGGCATAGTCACAGAAATAGGTCCGCAAGTAACATTTCGCTGAGACCCTGTTAGAGCATTTGTTTCGTTTTTCCGAGCCGATCCTAGATTTGCCGCGATTTGTTCGTCGGCAGAAAGTGTCAACGGTCGCTATTATCGTCTGCAGTGTTGCGTCTCTTAGACTTGGCGGGTAATCAGAAACAAAAAGAAACAGGTCAGCAAATAACATATCGCTGAGACCCCGTTAGAGCATTTGTTTCGTTATACGGAGCCGGTATATTTTTAATCGGACTGCGCCCCGAACGGATATTTCAGGCCGCAATACTGCGGGGATAGAAGTTCGGAGGAGAGCCGAATCTTCTTATCGTTCACTGGCTGTAAACTCCTGCGAAAGTTCTACTTGTTCGTCCACTTGTATAATTTTGTATTTTTCCAAATCTTGAGTTTTATGTGTATATCCGTTTTACAGAGCTGCCTTATTTACATATAGACCGCTGGTTCCTCTCATTTCAGGCAGACGCACTCCGACTCGCCCGAAGAAACAACCAAAATTAGTCACCTTATACGATATGCCGATTGGGGGAAAAGGGGGTGGGGGGGGAGGGATCTATTCTTTTCAATAATCTCTGGAGGTCACAAGTTCAGCTCCAAATACACCCATTGTTAATGCTTGTGAGACTGCGTGTGTCCTAGAATTTTATATTCATTACCTTGGTTTTTCTACGAGTGCTAATCAACATTACAGAATATATTCTCCGTTTAAATGTGCGAGCAGAACGCGTAGTGGCCAGAGTTTGTAGCCCAAAGTGTTTACGTATCTAAGATTACTGAAAACAACACACTGGAAACTCAACAACACGCATGACAAACGAACACATTTAGACTGATTCGCTTACCTGCTGGGTGATCCCACAATGGCTTCAACTTTGGCGGTACGTAACGTTCGGCCCAGTTAATGAGAAACTCATAAATGTCGTGGCAAACCTCGGCATCAGTCTCACCATTTTGCAAAACTTTGTAATGTCCTTGAGAAAGAGAAAAGGGGGGACAATAAGCACACGCGTACACTACTAAACTACACATGGCGGTTGATGCAGTGCACCAAATACCAGCGGCACGGACACACTGAACGCAGGGCAGGCGACTTCGATGTTAACGCACACAGGGATATAGATTTTTTCCAGAGCACCACGTAAACATAGGATTCACAAGCAGCAGTTCATAGATAAAGTAGTGACACAGAATTACTAATTTACTACGCCTTTTGCATCTTATATCGTTGCATATATTACGTCGCAAATAGATTTGTTGACTGTTTATACTTCGCAACTTTACGTACGGTAGTATTGCTTACTTCCCAAACTGTTTTATCGAAAATAAACACATAGCGATCTACTGCAATATAACTTTCCGGTTACTTTGAACCTATGCATGTAGAAATTATGAAACTGCGCTCATAACCCTTAAGCCATACTCATATATATATATATGTATATATTATATATATATATATATAGTATATATATATATATATATATATATATATATATAATATATATATATATATATTGGAATATATATATATGAGTAATTACTCTGCCGGTATTTTACCGCTTTCGCGGTTTTGTAGGTAGGGGGATGTGGGTGGCATGGTTTGTGATTTGGGCTCTGTTTTGGGTTTTTTCCCTGGCGCCCTTTGTTTTTTTCCCAAAGAAATGCCCAAAGAATGTATTGTCTCTTTCTGAGTGGGAAACCGGGTCTTTTTTCGGGGGTAATTTCTTTCATGACGCCCTTTCTTTTCTATCGGGGTTTTTTAATTTTTTTTCCCCCTTTCCAGGGACTCCGGGGATTTGGGGGGGGTAAACTGTTCCGGGGGGAAAGCCCCAACAGTTTTTTTCGGGTGTTAGAATGGGGAAAGAGAATTGACAACCCCAAAAACCCCCCCCCCCCCCAAAAATAGGGGAAATTTGGGAAATTTTTTTCAAAAAAATCTGGAGCCCCAAAAGATGGGGTAAAATTTAAAAGAAAAACCCCATTTTTTTTATGGTTCCCGGGGTTATTTAATACCCTTCTTTTAAACCCAAAAAATCCCCACCGTTTCCCAAAATTTTTTTTTTAAACTCCCAAAATTAC